ACAGGTTTATCTCAAGAAACAAGGAAAGTCTCCAACAGTCTAAGTTTAAAGGAACTAGAAAAAGAACAAAGTTAGTAGAAGGAGGGAAATAATAAAGAGCAGAGAGGAAATAAATGAAAACAGACTTAAAAAAAACAATAGAAAAGATCAATGAAACTAAGACCTAGTTCTTTGAAAAGATAAATGTAATCAATAAAACTTAGACTCATCAAGAAAAAAAGAGAGAGAGCCCGCAAAGGCTTGAATTTTTGTTCTGTTCATTTCTGTATTTCAGGCATCTAGAAAAGTATGTGGCATATAGTAAACATTCAATTAGATATTTATCAAATGATTGAATTAATTCATTAGTCTGGTTTAACAGACTTGATTTTTTGCATATTATTTAAAGACTATCTGTTGATCTGTCCTGGAGGTTACTGTTGTTCCATTAATGTTGTTTTAGGTTATTAGTTCCAATAATAAGTCACACTGAATGGGCTTTTTATCCCTTCAAAGTGTTTTCCTGGTCATTATACCATGGTAGTGTAATTTAGTATCCTTACAGTTTTATTTGCCTAATATTTGAAATGGAATAAAAATAACAGTTTATTTCTCTTCCTTCATATACTTAATTCTGTTGGTTTAGCTCTAAACTGACCTACCTTATTCCCATTTGTCATAGCAGTTTGTGTGTATATATATATAGTGACTAACTGAATGCCTTGCATTTAGCAGGTGTCTATAAATATCTGTTGACTTAATTTATTGTAACACTTTAGTGTAGTTTTCACTAACCTGTCAAGGTTTACTGAGCATTTATAAGAAGGAATATTTAAAGTCGACTACTTGTATTTTTTAGCCCAAAGCATTATATAGAAAGGAAATTTTAAAGATCTGTTATAAATTAATATATTTTAAAAGTAATTTTTTACTGTATTTACATTTTTCCTTTAAATTGCTGAAGATTTCTGACTCATTAAAAAATGTATTTTTTCTCTATCTCTCAAGCCTTTATTAGATTAGTTATCTTATATTTATGCCAAGAAGAATTTCTAATAGGAAATTTTGAGATATGTTAATTTTTCCTCCAGGCTGAAAAAGGAATCGGGGAGTCTCGATTTGTTTACTGTGTTGCCCCAGTGCCTCTGCTGCTTTGCTTCAGTAACAGGACTGTCATGTCAGCACAAAGCCCAGCACTCTGTCTTCCCACTTCCCCAGCTTGATAAAGAATTGCACCACTCACCCTCTCTCCCCAGACAGTGTTTTTCATGAGCTCTTTTAAAAAGTCAAAATCTTTAAAAATCATATAAGACTCTTACAGTTTAATTATTGTCATCCTCAGAGTTTTGATGGATTGATTGCAATTAGATATTTATATAACATGTCTACACCACTGATTAATAGCATAACTTGTTTTGGATTTTTAGATTAAATGCCACAAGTGCGCTGACTGGTGAGGAATTAAAGAACTGTGAGAAGCATACAATTTCTCTCTTAGAGGAAAGATACATAGTCTACTGGGCCATATATTTAAGTTTATTTTGTGGATCTGATCAGAACATATTCTTTATATTTTTTGGTAAAGAAGCTTACCACTATGTCTATTCTTTATATTTTATTGAATTTTTAAAACATTTATATTTGAAAATTGATGTGAATGTTTATTTTTATTTAAGAGTATTGCTTACTGAAGTCCATTTAAAACAACAGATAATTTCTTTAAATGGATTTAATTTCCTATTAAGATGGTTATTTGAAGATAAAAATGCTTTGAAAAACCTTAGCAATAACTATCAAAAAGGGGCGCCTGGGTGGCTCAATCATTAAGTGTCTCCCTTCGGCTCAGGTTGTGATCCCAGGGTCCTGGGATCGAGCTCCGCATCGGGCTCTCTGCTCCGCAGGAAGCCTGCTTCTCCCTCTCCCACTTCCCCTGCTTGTGTTCCCTCTCTCGCTATGTCTCTCTCTGTCAAATAAATAAATAAAATCTTAAAAAAAAATAAATAACTATCAAAAAGAGTAGCAGGAAGTAGCTTTATTGCTTAAAAACATTTCTCTTGTAACCTGTCACACTACTTTAGGATTGTGTCACAAGGATTAACAAAATTCAATTCTTGTAGGTATTGATGATTTGGAGGGAATAATATTAATGATCTTGATAATTATACATATCCTTATTTAAATGATTTTTATTTATAATTTATGATTATGAACTCCATGCTATGGAATTATATCTATGATTTTTTTTTGAAATTTCCAATTATGTTATTTATGTTTTGGTGTGATTATTTAGCATGTTTAGATCCAGGTTTTAATTTTTACTTTTGAGATGAAAAGCAAAGTATTAAGATTTATGTAAAAAGCATCATCTTATACAAAAACAAGGAGTCATGGATCACTACATCAAAAACTAATGATGTATGGTGATTAACATAACATAATAAAATAAAATAAAATTTTAAAAAAAGCATCATCTTAATGCAAACTTTAAAAGTCTACTTGCAACCTAATGTTTTGTTATATCTGTAGCACTTTCATTGTTATTAACAGTGTTGTCATTACTTGCAGTTCCAAATTAATTCTTCTAAAACTTAGTCTTCCAATTACCTGAAGATATGTGTTTACAAAATTATGTGGGTAACTATTACAGGTTACAGCCCATTATAGTTATAGCTTTTCCAACAGATAATATTTTTTAGTTCAAAATTATTTCTATGCAAAATAGCTAAAATGCTCTTATCTTTTTTTACTAACTGTGAAATCCTCCAGAGTTACTAGAATAGAGTGACCATGACCCAACTCCACTTGGGAAAAAAGAAAAAAAAGTGTTACTGGTTACGGAATCAAAACTAGAAAAAGGAATTTAGAGAACTGTTACCCTAAGCATATTTTTCTCCATTAATGCCACTTCTCAGCTTATCCCTGGGTATCTATATTTGTGTGTATGTATATAGAACATGTGTCTGTGCGTGTGTATGTGCACAAAATCCATCTTTTATTTTAAGAACAAACATTTTCATTAAGTATGCATGTAGATAAATGTCTGATTGTCACTGTGACAGGATTGTTTGCAAAGTCAGTTGATAACACATGGCATTTTACCAAGTGATTAATTTTTATTGGCTCAATTCACTAGTTTGCAGTAACACAAAGTAGTTACTCATGCTCAAAAATGCATAATCAGTAAATAGTTTTGGGATTTATCTCTTCGTAGACATTGAACTATTCCACTCAAACTAAAATGGATGGATTATTTCTAGTAAACATAAAAATGAAAACCTTTTTAAAAGTCTCGTAGTCTTAATCTTTTAAAACAAATTAAGTCCTTTAAAAGGATGTCTTAGTTTGCTTCATTTGTCAGTAATGTATTGCTTTAAATTTATCATTTTACTTCACCTTTTTTTCCTAAAATGATACTTACTTAGTCCATCAAATTAGGTCACTTTAGTTTGATTTATAATGCTATGTTGAAAATATATGAAAGTCAAATTTTGCAAGCATTTTAAACCACTTTATTTTTCAAAGTAACCATTTATCATAAGTAGTAAAGATGCCAAGATTATGTTATTACCTTTTATCTCAAGATACAGTGAAATAAATAATTCCATATACACACCTTTCACATTGTTTCAGTATACTTCAGTCTTTCAGCAAACATTCATTTCAAACTGTATGTTAGGCATTTGCCAGGTATTAAAGATACATACATGAGAAAGACAATGATCCTACACTCAGGAAACTCATAAATTGACAGAGATCGAAAAGGTGGTGGTGGTGGGAAAAGGTGGACTTTAGTATTTAACATTTATTCTCTGCCTGCAATCTAGGTACTTCATATTGTTTCAATTAACCCTCACAAAACGCCATAAGATATTTATTATTTTTTCCCATTTTATAGAAGGGGAAACAGACTCAGAGACAGCAAGTTGCCCAAGATCATAAAGCTAATAAGTAACAGAGATGTGATACAAGCCTTTCATTCTCCAAACTCCTGTTGATATTTGCTTATATTATCAGAAACTTTTTTATTCCAAGCATAATGATATAAAAATGGGTAATCTATGGTCCCTACCCTCAAAAAGTTGTAATTTTTATTAAAGCAACTCATACTCTTTAAAAAAAAAAAAAGGCATGACTCTACATCCTTTTAGGCTATGTCTGTTTAAATCCATCTAACCACACTTTGGGTCAAAATTATTCTATGATAATGTAAAGGTAGTTAAACCACATTTTGAACAGGACTCTGTTGATTTCATTTGTTTCTTTCTTAATTTTGGTCTGTAAGAGATTTCTGTCTCAAAGTCTTATAAAACTTGTAATTTACTGCCATTAAATAATTAAGCATTAAATTGCTGCCTGAGAAATACTGTATTGCCCTATAAAACTCCTCTCAATTAGTTTTGTTCATTTAAATAGAAAACTTTTTTTTGGAACTAGGACAGAGTGAGAATTGTTTAAAAGTCAAGCTACTTTATTTTAATTCGGCTAATTTAAATTTTCCAGGGTAAAAAAAATTGTGGCCAGGATTAATTCCAGCATGAAAATGAACATTTCATATTAATCTCCAAATCTTAAAGTCTACCTTTCACACATCATTTAAGTCTTTCTTATGTTACCCATTGTCTCTTATGCAAGGGAGCTTAAAGATACTTCACCTTCATTATGAATGGAGAAACCTCAAAACATTTATAACATTTTTTATAATCCAAAAGATACAAATTTCAGATGCCACAGATAGACAAAATAGAAAGTAACCAAGTGCCAGTAAATCGTATATTCTTTTTCTTGTTAATGAAGTTAGAGTCTGTGCCATACATTTTTGATTTAACTAAAGAGCTATTTTACCGAGCACCTGCTATTTTAATTGCTTGAGTTTTCTTGTCATGCATCTGTATATGTGTGTATATACATATATATGTGTAATTTATATTTATATAAGTATCTGATACTAATATTTTGCTATAAGTAAAATTAATTTTATGAAGAAAATGAAAATTAACATATTTGACACTTTTTAATTTCAGTTTATTGATGGTCGACTGGCAAAACTAAATGCAGGAAGGGGTTTCTCTGATGTATTTGAAGAGGAAATCACTTCAGGTGGCTTTTGTGGAGGTAAAAACTAGCTCCAGTATGATTATCCATTTTCTGAGCAACAGTTGTCTTGATTTTTACACTTGTATCTGATATAATCTATTTCATAAGGAACTTTTGCTCTTAAACATATAATGTCTTAGATATATTTTTTTCATCTTATGAGAGCTATGGTATTATTTTATTGTTCAAGGTGTTAAGATGGTCTCATGAATTGGTAGTTGTTTGCTTGGATAATCTCTTAATATTAGTAGAAATAAATGTCACAGAAATGCAGTTAGCTTGTATCTTCCTGTCTTTCATCCTGGCTAGTTGTCTGCTAAAAATAACCCACAGTGATGGCTACTACTAAGTAAGAATTAAAGAACTAAGATTATAGTTGAAATATTAGATTATAATATAATCTAAAAAATGATTTGAATACCACAGTGCTTTTATATTTTAAGTAAGTGTATTGTTATAGAAGTCTTTACCTTTTTTTTTGCTTTGCAGAACATTGCAGCATGAGGAAAAGACTTTTCAGTTTACCATCCCATGTGCTTACACTTGTCACTGTAAAAAGTGCTCACTAAAAAAATGGAAGGCGTCGTATTATTTTGTATGTGTGAAACATAAGCTAGGTGATATCTCATTTTTATTTAATATAATGCACTTTAATATAATTAAACAATTACAGTGTTTCATATGTAAGTATTCAAACAATATTACAATTACCTAGGCAGTTAATAACCTATGAACTGGTACTTTGTACATGATTGCTCCAGTATATAGTCCTGACTCTGGCAGAGAATTTTGCTTGAGTCCTTGAAGTGTCACATTCATTCATTCAGCTGGTATTGTGCTAAGTGTTTACCTATATACTAGGTACTGTTCCAGATACAGGGTAAACTAAACAAACAAAAATCTCTGGTGTGTTCATTTTCACTATGTATGATAATAATTTTTCTCTTTGTCTGTAGGTTTAATTTGGGGAAAAGATGTCGTTAGTGTGTATGTGAACAAATAGTTGCTAGAATTGAGAAATAAAACATGAAAAGACAGTAATAAGTACACATCTACAAATTTCCCCAAATTTAATTTTATTCTTAGATGTATTTTTTGCACCGTAGAAATACAAAAACAATTGAGATAATTTGTTCATTAAAAGAGGTACAAATGAACTGAGCATTTATGGATCTTCATCTGGCATAAGTATAGCACTTCATTGAAAGCATTTAGCTTTGGGAAAAACTTAGTTTCTTAACTGAGCAAGTAAGCTAAGTGTGCAGTCATTCATCTCCTTGCTTTCCTCAGCTCATGGGTAAAAATTTAGCTTCAATGGAACTTTTGTGTTAAAATAAGGCTTTTTTACTTTTCAATTCAGACAAGCAAAATATTGTCAGCTCATGGACAAATTGCTCGAGGCATCTATTCAGTATTTATATAACTGCTGTCTCATTACCCCCACGGGGCTAGTATCTTATATGGAATTGAAGATGACATCTTGTGACAGTAATGGGGTAGAACTATGATCATTTTGTAGAATTAAGTTCTGTAGTCTTAACCACTGGTCCAGATATCTCTGTTCTAGAATAGAAGATAGGTGGGTGTCTTTTCTGGTGGGAGAGGGGTTTCTAAAATTTTTCATTAAAGGTCTTATGGTTTAAAAAGAATGGGATACTGATCACCAATTGGCATCTGACTTAGAGACTGCTACATTCGCAGTACAACTTCAGGCCAACCACTTTGTTTTTCTTTCTTAAAATGAAAAAAGTTTTGAATGCTTATCTTAATATGGTGGTGACGGGAGCAATACTGATTCAAAAGGAAAACATAGTTCAACAAGTATTAATGTCAGTATGTACAGCAAGAAAGTATATTAAAAATTATACCTGGCTGTCAAGTGTTATTTTTTAATCATTGTATTTTAGGTTATTATTTTAGAGATACATAGAGATGATTCTTAGAAAAATATAAAGCACAATTTATTAGGATTTGAAATAAAAATATGAATAATCTAATAAAAATTAGTAATGTTCTTATAAATGATATATATATAAAAGAACATAATACACTTGTCATTTATACTACATTTTTAAGAAGGATGTCTATATCATGATATGAAACTATTTTTCAAAGAAGTGAACTATTGTAACTCATTTCTCTCATAGTTATAGTAAGAATAATTTTAATTGTTCCTACTTACTGAATATTAATATGTGACAGAATCTCTTATAAGAGCTCTACAAATTTTATCTCGTGTAATCCTCAGAGCACCTGTGAGGTATTTAGATTACCCATCCCCATTTTTATGAGAGCACTTATCTCAACAGTTTGCTCCAGCTCACTGCTAGTAGTGCTAGAGGCTGAACTCAACTTGTATCTGCCTGGGTTCAAAGCTCTTGCTTTAATAACTATAATATATTGCTTTCTTGTGATAAGAAATCTTCTTAATTAGAAGACATTCAGTAAACAAGAGCACTACCCAAGCCTTCTCTACTCCAAGTGGATAAAAGTAAAATTCCTGTCTCATGATTATCCGTTGAAGATTTTTTACACATAAAGCCCTAAGAAAGATCACTATAAGAAAAATCAACATTCACTAAAGCTGAGGAAAAAATCATGTTTCTTTAAGCAAAAATAATTAGGAAATTTCAGAGAAGCATCTAATTTCTCCCCTTTCTGTGTCACTGCAGTGGCAGTTTATATACTCTATTTATACAGTCTATATATGGTGATGATAAAATGAATATGAGTATGGTGGAACTTTGTAATTATTGGGGCTCTGATAAGAATATACAATGCAGGACAGTCATTCATAGAAAATCTAGATTCACATTGACTCAGAACTATGGTTAAAGACTGAATGCATACAGATCTCCAAAAACCTTTCCGTCCTGTGAATCCCTGTGGTCAGGACTGTAAAGAAATCCCTGTTACTCCTGAATTTTTTCATGAGACCTTTGTAGAATATTCAACCTTAAGAGGAAAGTAATATCAGGGAGTGTGTAAAGGGAAGAATACCCATAGTGGCTAAAAGGTAATAAAAGTGGACACAAGTAGAACAAAGGACGAAATTAGATAAACACAAACATTGGTCTATGAAAAAGCAGCTAAGGAATATTGGGTAGTTAAGAACATGGGGTGGGGTTTTTTGCGTATTTTTTTCATTTAAAATAAGACTAGTTTTTTAAATCCACTTCCAGTTATCTAAACTTTAAAAAGGAGAGACATTTTCAGATTGATTTTATATAGAAGCCTATAGTTATTCTTCATTAGCATTTGTTGCTTCATTAGTTTCCTGACATAATCTGATCAGTCTTTTATTTATTTAATTCTCTTTCTTTTTTGTACTGACTGAGGCACCAAGAGAATTTGAAGAGGTAGTAGGTAGTTATCCGTTTTAGTGGCATTTTTCTGGCTTCACTGAACAATTTAGATAAATTTATATATTTTTTTGAGGAGTAACTACAAATTACTGGAATTTAAGCAAACACATTTGAGGAAGAAGTCTTTGCACAAGTGGGAAACAAAGATATTTTGTCCTTGAGTGTGAGAAAATCACTCGTATGTTTAATGAGAATAATGTTGGGAATTTCCTCAATAATGCTTGTTATTTCCATAATCCAGTGACTTTAGTGGAAGGACTCAGAGATTTTTTTTTTTGGCATTCAGATTCATTTTTAAGAAGAAAAATAGCCTTTAAGAAATATTTTTAAAAATAATGTACTTATCTCATAAATTTCGTGGAAATAGAAGCTTTCAATCTGAAAAGCATTAAATTTAAAGAAACAAATATCTTTTTTTTAAGATTTTATTTATTTGACAGAGAGAGACACAGTAAGAGAGGGAACACAAGCAGGGAGAGTGGGAGAGGGAGAAGCGGAATCCCCGCGGAGCAGGGAGCCCGATGCGGGTCTCGATCCCAGGACCCGGGGATCATCATGACCTGAGCCGAAGGCAGACGCTTAATGACTGAGCCACCCAGGCACCCCAAGAAACAAATATCTTTTGACAGGAATCTACCTAAATTGTACCACATGCTTCCCTGTCATCTCAAGCAGTTTATGTAGGGACTTCCTGTTTTCCCCTGTGCATATAATTCTGGATTATTATTGGTGATTCTGTCAACTGTTTCTTCTCAAGGTATCCGCTTTGAGCAGCCCCTTTTCATTTCTAATGTAATTAGTGTGAAGTGATACAGGGGAAATCTCTGTTTTCTCATGTTCTATTTAGCAGTCTTAAGAGGTAGAATTTCAGAGTTGAAGGACTACAGAACCAAGAATTCAAATACTTAGATTCTTATTCTTTCTCAGTTGCTATCTTTGTGACCTTGGGCAAATAATGAGCTACCTCAGAACCTTCAGTTTCCTCGTTTGGCAAGTTACTGACAATAATAACTTACATTTTTGGTGTGTCTGTGATGTGCTAGGTACTGTACTAAGTAACATTGTAGCAGCCAGGTTAAAGACCTAGTCCCAAATCCCATAGTTTACAAGAATACTGTGGACTTGAACTCTCAGATCATTGGACTCCAAAGCCCACTTCCTTTCATTGAACTGTGCTTCCTAAGACACTGTCTGCTTTGCCTCTTTTAGAGTACAAAACACAACTCAGATAAGGGAATGTAGGTAAAAACATTTTGTGACCTGTGAAGAGCTGAATATGAGCTATTTTTGTTCTTCATAACTCTAAGACACTGACCTTTCTAAAACTGCTCTGAAGTTTTATGATACTAATTTTCTTTGTAGTTTAGAGGCTTAAAAAATTATATTCTGGATTGACAAGTGTTCCAGAATGCTAAATAGTTATCATATAGAAGTTAGTATTTCTCTTTCTACTTTCTTCCATTTATTTTGGGAAAAGAATGAAAATAAAGCACTTTCCAGAATACTATAAATAACAACCAAGTCTTAAAGGTGTGATTTCTACCCAACCATTTTTAATAGAGAAGTTATTAAGTATATGAACTGATGAGAACCTTTAGCAGAGAGGTAAAAGTATATGAACAATCTGGGTAAAGATACTGTTTATTTTTTTGTTAATAAACTCTCCTTAGAAATAAAGGATAACTTGAATAACTTGAATTTTTGTGTTACCTTTCAGAGGAAATATAATTAAAAAATTGTTTAGGACAAACACCACCTGAAACTCATGGTTTTTTAACAGTGCAAATTTTATTTACAGAGGTTATTTTAAGTAGACACATTTTGCTATAATCATTTCATAAGATTAGAAAAAATATTATTTTTGCCCAGGTATTTTCTTCCAGAAAAGTGAAGTACAGTGCTGAGTAGTAAGAGATGTTTTTCACAATGGGGGTTATTTCTTGATTTTTTTTCTTTGAATTAGAGAAGGGTTTAATAACAGGAGTCATATCAGAGCTGGACACATTTTGCCTGATGTTGGTTAGGAATGCAAAGACAACAGCTGGAAATCAGTTCTTGGGCTGGGATCATTCAGCTTCTATTTTATAACAGCAAGGGAATGAATTTTTTAAAAGAACACAACTACATGCAAGTAGAGAACATAGATGGTGATAGATGTTAACTAGATTTATGTGGTGATCATTTTGCAGTATATACAAATATCAAATATTATGCTCTATATCTGAAAATAATATGATGTTATATGTCAACTGTATCGCAATTAAAAAAAAGAAGAGACCATAGTCTGTTTTAGGGATTACTTGTACTTGGAGTAGCCATCAGGACTTTGTTTTTTAAGCATTTAAACCAAGAAGGCGGATGAAATCTAAGTCAGTTGATATTAAGCATTACTTGAGATTGTGTTCTTTTTTTTGCCTTCTGATATCATTTTATTGATTAAATTACCATATTTGAAACGAAATATGTGATTACTAGTTTTATTAGAACTGGTTTTAAGGAGTGCACTTGTGATGAGCGCCGGATGTTGTATGGAAGTGCTGAGTCACTGTATTGTACACCTGAAACTAATATTACTCTGTATGTTAACAACTGGAACTTGAATAAAAACTTAAAAAAAAAGAACTTTGTCAGCATTTGAACTTTATAATAACCATAATGTTTTATAGACTAAAACCTTCATTTGCTTCATATTTTCTTGGGTAGTATCTTTCAAACTTGGATTTACAACTAGAGAATATCTTCAGAACTATGACTGTATTGCATTACAGTAAAATTTGCGATCCATTAGTGTTAATAGTTAAAAACCATAGGTAATCTTTTTTTGTCTTCAAGTTTCCTTGCATTTTAAAATTCCCGTCTAGTTTTTTCTTTCTTTATGCACTTGCAATATTACTTTTAAATGAACCCAGTTGCATAGAAGAGGCAAACTTTTACAAGACAACATAGACATAAAACACTAAAAAAATTAGTATAAAAGACATAGGAATCTTGGGTTTCAAAAAAGATGGTATATTTTCCCCCTCTGAACGTCATATTAAAATGAAAGAAGATAGAATATTTTGGCATATTACCTTTTTATGTGAGTAAAGAAAAAAATGTCTGTTCTTAAACATTCTAATCACTGTGTTCCTAAGAGAGCAATTTAATAGTTCTTACAATACCATTGCTTTTCTCACAACACTGCTGATAAATAAAATTTGCCTGCTAAAATCCTGGAAATATTAGTTCTTAATGAATTTTAGTTTATGGATTTATTTTAGATCAAATATTTCTGACATCTTATTTTTATATTTTCCAGGAAACCCGAGGTCATATCAACAATGGGTACATACAGTCAAGGTAATGATAACCCTTCACAGTTTCTTCCTCCTTTACTCAAACATATATGGAGAAATGTTCAGTAAAAGGAAGCTGCTTATACTTATGCTGTTTATTGGCAATATTTGAAATGTTTGTGTATTTTTTCACATTTTAAGTATTTTTATTTTATGTTATTATAATTTAATGATATTCATAAATATAATTTTAAAATGGAAAGCTTTTGTCCAGAGATAAATGGCTCATTTTGAAAAGCAAGATGTTATTGTCAGCTTATATTATATCCTAGAACAAAGGAATTAGGAGGGAAAAGTATGATTTGAGGGGAGTTTTATCATTTCTGGTCATGTGCTTGTTGTTAATATGATTTTTTAAAATGTAAAACTTGCCTCCACAGATTTAGGCTTTATTGCCCAACCTTAAAACAATTAATAAACAGTTGCTTGTAGTTCTTTTTTATTAAGTTTTAAATATATACTTATTACTGGTCATATTGCTCAAGTCTGCCTAAACTGCAAAGATGAAATTATTTTTAAATCGTGTATTACACAAACTAAAAGAACGGAGTAGGATGTTTACATTTTGTCAGAAATTACTATAAAAAAAAAGAAATTAGTATATAAAAGCTTGAAAACACTTAATGTGACATAATTTCTGTAGGTCTTTAATTTGTGAGAAAAGCTTTTCTTCCATACTATTAATAATGCTTTGTCTTCAGGATAGTCTGGTTTAAAATTTTTAGAAATATGTTTCTGTTTTTTCTTTGCAGAAAGGAGGTGCACTGTTTAACACAGCAATGACCAAAGCAACTCCAGCTGTACGGACAGCATATAAATTTGTAAGTTTTCTTTTGATGTTTAAAATTCTGATAAAATTATACATTTCCCTAGCTGACAGACATGTAAATCTAGAATATTTCCTGTTTTTTCTTTTAAAAAAGATTTAAAAAATTTAGAGTTAATATTGACCAAAGTGAATTCAGTTATTAAAACTATTGTATAGAAAGAATATTCCCTTTACATAATCTAAAAACAATTCTTCAGTTTATTTCGAAACTGTCAGTAAAATTGTGCACTTAGATTGAAACAGTCCATAATGAAGTGCCATTTTTAAAGATTTGATTCTTTCATTTAGCAACATATTTTATTTATTTATTTATTTATTTATTTATTTATTTATTAAAGATTTTATTTATTTGAGAGAGAGACAGCAAGAGAGGGAACACAAGCAGGGGGAGTGGGAGAGGGAGAAGCAGGCCTCCTGCAGAGCAGGGAGCCCGATGCGGGGCTCGATCCCAGGACCCCGGGATCATGACCCCAGCCAAAGGCAGACGCCCAACAACTGAGCCACCCAGGTGCCCCAAGCAACGTGTTTTAAATTCTCATTGTATACTTGAGGCTTAAATAGGAAAAAATAGAAAAATATGGCAAGTTCTCTTCCCTCAAAGATGCGCAACTCCATAATTAAAATTCTTCAGTGATTCTCCATGATTGATAGTAAAATAAAAATACCCATATCAATAACAATAAAAAATAACTAATAAAATAAAAATGTCTTTAATATAATAGCAAAGACCCTTCAAGACCTGATTCCTCTTGTGTCCTTCCCATTCACCACAAACCTTAGAGCCTGCCATAACCCTAAAGTTACTGAACTACTCCTCATTTCATGAATGCAGGATGTTCTTTTCTGCCTCTATGCTTACATAATCCATTTCTACTAACTGGAGCATTTATTTCTTGGATTTTATCCACCCAGGAAACACTAATCATCCTATAAGACTTAGTTTAGGCATTAGCTGTTTGCCTATAAAATGTCCAACCCCACACTATAAGGGTTCATATATGTTCTGGGTCCTCATCGGACCAGTATGTGTTACCTCTGTTTCAGCACTTGTTTTGCCTGCATGCATCTTTATCTCTAATATTAAACTAGTCGGAACTAGTGGATTGGTATCCAGTAATTTTTTAAATGTAGTAGGTAATATATATTTTTTTATTTCTAAAAATATTCAGAGTTGTAGGTTTTTTTTAGATTTTATTTATTTATTTATTTGAGCGAGAGAGACAGCATGTGCAGGCAGGGGGAGGGTCAGGGAAGAAAGAGAGAGAATCTCAAGTAGACTCCACACTGAACACGAGCCCAATGCTGGGCTCAATCTCATGACCCTGAGATCATGACCTGAGCAGAAATCAAGAGTCCAAGGCTCAACCAACTGAGCCACCCAGGCACCCGAGGGCAATAGTTTTGATTTTATAGGAGTTTATCTTCAAATGCTTTCTCAGTAAAGGAACTGATGTGATTGAATTAATAATGGAATAATATATTTTAATAAGCTTAGAATTTACATTCTTATTTTGACTTACAATTATGACATAGATGTAGCCAACATTACTGTTAAAAAAATCCATTTCAAAGATTACATTTTATAGTAGGAAAGCTAATCTACAGAGTGGATTCAAAAATATGGTGCCAAAATTCTGAGCTGTTTGAAGCCTTATCATAGGAAGAAGTTGTCATTTTGACTAGGAAACATCAGCTCTGTGTTTTGTTTCGTTGTTTCATAGTTTTTCTGGAAAACCTCTTTGAGTATGTCACTGTCTTACTATAATACTGGTAGTTTGATTTATGTACAGGTTTTGGAGAGATTTTATTTTTTTACAATGAAATAACACTTGGCTGCCATGTGAAACATCAAACTAGCCTTGTTTCTCACATTCACTTAAGATTGTAAAAAAGGTTTCTCCATCAAGTGCCCTTTATTTTATTCTTGAATAAAACACTTGAAGTTTTTCCTCAGTCTTAGAGAAATTGTGTTGTATTATTTTGCTAAATATATGTTTTTCTCCTTAATTTCACTCATATTTTCCACAAAAACCCAGAAGTAAACATGTTCAAAACTTATTCATTATTCATATTTTTATCTTTCTAACCAGTAGAGCGTTTTATTTTCTGCAGAACAGTAAAATGTTCCCAAGTTAAAATTCTGCTCTCTGGAAGACTATTCCCTAAACTAATTTCAGGCCAGTTAAGGTCTCCAGAATATACTTAATCGCTTTCATCATTTATCTCATGATCATGTTGCACATGAATCAAGAAGTCAAGAGGTTTGGGACAAGTAAAGTCAGTTTGTGGCTTTCATAGTTGTACCTAAAACTCATCTTTCCAGGCTGCTCATATTCTGAAATATGAACTCTTGAACTTCCTCCTTGGACCACAAATTACTATGAACAAAACTTCTGATCTCTCCCATATGGGTTTAACAGAATTTATTTACTTGACTTTCCAAAGATGGTAAATTTTTGAAAACTGGAAGCCATGTTTTAAACTGTTTCATTTGTTCAGTATGTTATTTGAGTACCTCTTATGAACTAGGCGTTGTACTGGTTATTTTAGTTAGAGCAGTGAGTGTGGCATATAGTGTGAGTGACAGAGGTACTGTCCCTGCTAGTTTTATGTTTGTATCATGGTCCCTTTGCTCTGTGTTTTGGACATACTACAGAGGAATTTGTTGAAGGACATAATGGTTTTGTCCTATTCTTAGAACAGTTCTTCTGTGCTTAGAACATTTTCTCTATGCTTTTTATGCTCTCATTTTTTTCTAGTTTTTAGAAACCATAAAGAAAACTAGAATTAACATGTATACTTTTCTTAGAAATCTAAAAATAATGGTAAAGTGAATACATAATTGATTTGGCTAAAAGATTTTCTGAGTCAACTTCCTTGTTAGGTTTTTGCCTTTTAAATTATTAACTAAAGCCATTTGCTCAATGCTTCTCTGTAGAGAATACTTGTTTATTGCTTAGTTTCAACTTGATATTTAAAAGGATAGAGAGAAACTGTATCCCATCTTCCATATAGTCTGAAAGAGGTCGGTGGAAGAGGTAGGGCAGCAGCCATTTAAATGAATCAGTGCATGGATTACAGAATCACGTCTGACACTAGATTCAACTCTATACACTTAGAAGCATCTGAAAAGATTAGTGTGAATCAAGTGAATTTTGAAAGAATAGAAGATATTTAGATAAATTAGAATATAAACAAAACAAGAGCAAAGATGGATACAAGTTCTAGGAGATGGAAGCTGGAATATTTTCTTGGTAATTACTCATTTTTACCTAATGAGAATGTAGGGATTAATATGGGACCCTTCAAATAGATTAAGTGGCTTTACCAATAAAACAATGAATGTGAAACTGCTTTAATTCTAAAGAGCCACGGGAATACAATTTAGTGTTATTTGGCTTTTTAGGTTATCTTTTACTGTGTATAATATGTTTTGATTTTGCCTCATTTGCAATAAAGAAATAGTTGTTTATTTGAGTTCAAGACATAATTTGAGCAGTTACTATATGCCAAATACTGTATTAGGTACTACAGATATTAACAGCAAAGAAGTAAGAGCCGTCCCCTAAATGAACTTAGGAAGACATATTCACTCTTCCTAGAAGTAGTTGGGAAAGCAGGGTGGTTTGGTAGAAGGAGCAAGAACACTGGAGTTGGAAAGTCTTAAGTCTCTATGACCTTAGCTTCCATGTCTGTAGAATGAGACTCATGATGCCTTTTCTCTTGTAAGGCTTATATTCAGTGGATATATTTTTAAAGTCTTAGTTCTTCAAGAACCTTCTCCTTTTTGATAGTGAGAAGTTGGACTTAAAAATGAAATGGACCCGGATTTGAATCTAGCCTATGCAGACTGATCCCCTCTGAGTCACTTTCCTTATTTGTAAAATGTAATAATAATAATACTAACTTTAGAGACTTGTGATGATTAAATGAGCTAATATATGCTAGGTACCCAGCACATGGTCATATACTGAGGAAACACAACATAAAGGTGAGTTTCCTTTCTTTTCCACTCTGGCCACTCTGGGAATTTCCAGTGGAATAAAGGCCAAGGTTTAAGGAAGGTCCCCAGTTACTTAAGTTATATTCCACAGGAATCACATTAGGACCTGAGAAGCTCAAATGCTGCAGTCAGAGTCCCTATGGAACATGAGGACAGCATCTTCTGTTAAGTGACCTTTAATTTGTACCAGAAAAACTGGACATGAAATAGCCATAACATTAAGATATCTCTGCTAATAAAAACTTGTATCTGCCTGTAAGAGCATTTTAATAAAGCTTTGTAAAGTTGCCTGAGTTTCTTAAAGTCCAAACATTTGCCCAAATAGCCTGCTGCTGTGATGATGTGCATTCTTCTTTTCACCCCCTGTTAATCACGATTTCAAATTAAGACTGGACAGTAGTAATCTGGTTGACTCCTGTGTTTTCTATAGTTGAGGAGGCAAAATAGGCTAAATGTTAGCCTTTGTATGATATTAGGATGCAAATAAAGACTAATCATGTTTTCACTAATTTAGATATAATAGTAAGTGGTGTGGTCTTCCTGAAAATTAAGTTTTAGATTATAATTTGTTCTTTTTCTAAATAATATGAAGTTAGCAAGTTTCATGAAGTGAGAGCTCATCTGCTTACTCTTTAAATGGTAATAGAACCATGCTGAGCCAGACACTTGTGTTACCTTTTTCTAGGCAAAAAATCATGCAAAGCAGGGATTAAAGGAAGTGAAGAGTAAGCTAAAACACAAGGTATGTCATATTCTTCTTTTCATTCTTCCTTGATTCTTACATTAGTTTGAAGCTTATACTTTACAAATCACATGAGATTTATGTTTTTAATGACGTTTGAAATATGCTTAGCCCTTTGTTCAACAATGTATTTTTCATAACAACCCCTCTGGCAACTATCTGCCATTCTGCATGCATCCACTGAATAATCTCTTTATTGTTTGCATATTTTAACACAGAACAACGGAGATCTTCAAAGATGCTTTAACAAGATGTATGTTTTCATAAAGTTGATTGCCTTGATATCACAATTGAAATTCTTGCTTCAAGACGAGAATTTCTTTAAAAAGATGATCTTTGGTGCAGAATTAAGCCAGGAATACCATCTTTATAGGATCTTTCCAGTAGTCGCTACTTTAATTTGAAGCATGTTCTTAATTAATAAAAGATTTTGTTTGAAGATATGTATTTGAATATATGAATATTTATGTGTACGTATATGTATTTTTGATTTGATTACATATTATATCTGCAGATTTTTGTCAGTTGTTTTGAATTTCTTTCAAGAAAAATTTTACTTAAAACTTCCATTTTTATGATGGAGAGTAATCCTTACATAAATTTTATTCAAATTATTCAAAATAGAGAATATTTTGGAAATTATTAATTCAAAATATAGAAAAATGCATTTTCTTCCTAAACAGATTTTTTAAACTTCTATCTGACGTGTTATTTTGCTATTTGCATCTGTATCAGATAGTTTGTCCAAAAGTAATACAAGGAGTATTTTAAAATAATTACTTGTGTATTTCCTAATGTGTAGGAAAATGAAGAAGGTTATGGGACCTGTTCTGGTTCTGTACAGTATACACCAGTTTACACATTACACAATGAAAAGGGAGGAAATATAGAAAAGCGTAAGCTTGCTCAGGTAAGTTTATTTACCCTTACATCTTCAAATTCTAAAATTATGTAATTCCAGTTAATTCTTTAAGAAAATTTTCGACCCATTCTTTTTTTTTTTTTTTTTTAATCATATGATAAAATGCAAGAAAGCTTGCATTTCCAGTCAAGGAGATTGAGTAGGTAGTGTCTGGGCAGGCTGCAAGAGGATTAAGAATCAGTTGTTCCAGATATCAGTCTCTACATACTTTATTATGTCTTCATAGAGCTCACAGTCCAGTAGGGGGAGAGAGACAGTTAAGCATGTGATTGCTATAGGATGTGAATAGCTTGACGATGAGGGGGAAATCACAGATTTCTACTACAAAAATAAAAGAAAGTTCATACATGGGAATTTGACTGTTAAAATCATTTATACAAATTAGAATATAAAGTAATATGCCTATTTTTTCTAAAGTTATATATTTTATTTGCTATAAATATATAAAGCTTCTGCTTATATGTCAATGTTATGTAAAATACTGTCCTACTGGGGGAAAGTGTTCAGAATTATAGCTATGTGTGTCTCTGGTTTTGCCTCATAAGTGTGTTTCTGAAGGTTTAAATGATCCAAATTTGTATACACCAAATCATATTTTAAGTGGCCTTAGAAAACTAGCTTTTAAAAAGAATTCTCAACTAGATTATAGTTCACTTATTGCAGTCACTGAAGTTTATAGATGAGGGAGTTGATAGCCAGAATGGTCACCTCACTTACCCTAAGACTTACAAGGAGTTAGTGGGAGAGTGGGATGAGAACACATCCCTAATGCTCATTTAGCTTTCCTGGATCTGCACACACTGCAGGAGCAGAGATGGCCTTGAAGTGCTGCTTCTCTGTGTCATTAGGGATGGGGAGAGGCAGTGAAACTGTACTAAAACCCTTACCTTTATAAAGAAAATTCATTCACTTAATCATTTGGCACCTACTGTGCACCAGTCATGACTCTTAAGTGTTCCAGGAGAAGCAAAACCCATCTCTGCCTTCATGGAACCATTTTTATACCATACTAAGGGCCTTCTCTATGATGTATCCTTTTATGAGTTTATATTTTCCATACATTAGTATTGCTTAATTACAGCATATTGGTAGTAATGCTGATTGTCTGACCTAAAATAAGCCCCTCAATCAATTCTACAAGTGTAGAAACTTTCCTTGGCTACTACTGTTAACTGGAAAACATGTATTAACTTGTAAACTAATAATGGATTTGCAATCAATTTCTCTATTTCTCTTCCATCACTAGCATGTTCAATTCCTATTGGTTCTCAAGCTTAAGCATCTTAAAAACTTTTGCAAAATATTTATTCCCTTAATATTGGAGCAGTTAGGTTATATTTACCATGGTGCATAGATTTTTATGTGAAAAAGAATGAGATCTTTGTTATTTATCAGATGTTTTAAGATAGAAAGAAAACACTTCAATTAGAGAAACACCTGTCCCAAATGTCACTTTTAAGTTAGGAAAACTATTTTCAGCTCCTCATTTAAATTTTTAAATCTTCCTTTCTTTAACACGGCAGTGTATTTATATGATAATTTAGTTATAAAATATATTACAGATTTCTGTTTTTGTTTTCTGTTAGACAATTTCTGATAGAGAAAATTGTATTAAGTTACAGAAAACTTTACAATAGGTTACATTCATTGTATACTTATCCTGAATTTTCATGGCCATCATTTATTATAATATCATTAATTCAACTATCTGTATTCATCAGTTAGCATTTTGTGGTTTTCAGGTGTACATGACAAATGATGACTCTAACAAGAATTAAGAGAAGTAGGGCTTATTCTTTTAAGAATTATAATATGGGGGGAGGAGCAAGATGGAGGAGGAGTAGGTGACGTAAATTTCGTCTGGTCCCAGGAATTCAGCTAGATAGGCATTAAACCATTCTGAACACCTACGAACTCAACAGGAGATCGAAGAAAAGAATAGCAGGAACTCTCTGAACAGAAAAGTGACCACTTTCTGGAAGGTAGGACGTGCGGAGAAGTGAATCCGAGGCGATATTCGGGAGGATAGACGGTGGGGGAGGGGCCTCCGTCGGCCGCTTCTGGCAAGTGAGACATCAGCGGAGCACAAAATGGGAACTTTTAGAAGTCGGCTCCGCTGAGGGACGTCGCTCCAGTGGCTAAGCGGGGGGTGGAACCCTCGCGGGACAGTGTGGTCTCAGGACCCTCGGGGTCACAGAAAGACTGGAAGTGCCTGAGTGCAGCAGAGCTCCCAGGTATCGGAGCGGGGAAGCCGGCTGCAGAGACGGAGCCAAGGAGTGGGCTCTCAGCTTGGGGTTGCTATAAACTATGATCCGCGGCCCAGTCGGCCCACTGCTCCTCCAGCAGGGACCCAACAAGCGGCAGATCTGGGGAGACTTCCCTTCCTCCCCCGGGAGGAGCAACGCAGGAGCGCACCGCAGCGATCTGCTGGGTTTGGAGACTCCACACAGGTCGGGTGCCAGGATAGAAACGCTCAGTCACAGGCCGGGTGAGCACGGAGTGCGGCTGCAGACCAGGGAGACGGGAGTGACTGACTGCTTTTCTCTGGGGGCGCACTGAGGAGCGGGGCCCCAAGTTCTCGGCTCCTCCAGGGTGGTGATTGGGAGGCCGCCATTTTCACTCTTGTCCTCCAAAGCTGTAGGGAAAGCTTGCAGGGAACAAAAGCTCCCAAGAGCAAACTCGAGCAGATTACTTAGCCCGGGGCAGGGGCGGGGCAATTCCGCCTCCAGCAAAGACATTTGGGAACCACAGCAACAGGCCCCTCCCCCAGAAGATCATCAAGAACAGCCAGCCAAGACGAAGTTTACTGATCAATGAGAACAGCAGAACTCCAGTGCTAGGGCAGTACTGCACATAGAATTCATGGCTTTTTTTCCCCCTGATTCTTTAGTCTTTCAAAGTTAATGTTTTGAATTTTTTTCTTTTTTTCTTTTTTTTTGAATTTTTCTTTTTCCCTTTTTCAACCAACATCTTATTAATCCCTTTTTTAAAAATCTTTTTTATTTTTCACTTTTAGAGTCATATTCTATCCCTTCATAGTAGTTAACCTTGTTTTTGGTATATATATATATAAGTTGTTCTCTCTTTAAAATTTTGGGATATAGTTTCTTCTAACAGACTAAAATATACCCTAAATCTCTAGTGTATGGCTTTGTTTTAGTCTCCAGCCTGATCACATTCTCTCCTTTTTTTTTTTTTTAATTTCTCTTCTTTCTTTTTTCAACCAACTTCTTATCAATTCCTTTTATAAAATCTTTTATGATTTTCATCTTTACAGTCATATCCATCCTTTCATCATATATACTCTTATTTTGGTACATATATAAGCTTTTCTTTCTTTAAAATTTTGGGAGGCAGTTTCTTCTAACAGCCCAAAATATGCCCAAAATCTAGTGTGTGGCACTGATCTATGCACCAGCCTGATCATATTGGATCATATTCTTTTTTTTTCTTTCTTTCCCTTTCTTTTCCCCCCGTTTCAGGTCTCTTCTGATTTGTTTAGTGTATATTTTTGGGGGGTCGTTGTTACCCTGTTAGCATTTTGTTCTCTCATTCATCTGTTCTCTGGACAAAATGACAAGATGGAAAAAAATCACCTCAAAAAAAAGAACAAGAGACAGTACCAACTGCCAGGGACCTAATCAATACGGACCTTAGTAAGATGTCAGAACTAGAGTTCAGAATGACGATTATAAAGATACTAGCTGGGCTTAAAAAAAAGCATGGAAGATATTAGAGAAACCCTTTCTGGAGAAATAAAAGAACTAAAATCTAACCAAGTCGAAATCAAAAAGGCTATTAATGAGGTGCAATAAAAAATAGAGGCTCTAACTGCTAGGATAAATGAGGCAGAAGAGAGAATTAGTGATATAGAAGACCAAATGATGGAAAATAAAGAAGCTGAGAAAAAGAGAGATAACTACTGGATCACGAGGGCAGAATTTGAGAGATAAGTGATACCATAAGATGAAACAATATTAGAATAATTGGGATCCCAGAAGAAAAAGAAAGAGGGATGGGGGCAGAAGGTATATTGGAGCAAATTATAGCAGAGAACTTCCCTAATTTGGGGAAGGAAACAGGCATCAATATCCAGGAGGCACAGAGAATCCCCCTCAAAATCAATAAAAATAGGTCAACACCCCGACATCTAATAGTAAAACTTACGAGTCTCAGAGACAAAGAGAAAACCCTGAAAGCAGTTCGGGACAAGAGGTCTGTAACCTACAATGGTAGAAACATTAGATTGGCAACAGACCTATCCACAGAGACCTGGCAGGCCAGAAAGGACTGGCATGATATATTCAGAGCACTAAGTGAGAAAAATATGCAGCCAAGAATACTATATCCAGCTAGGCTGTCATTGAAAATAGGAGAGATAAAAAGCTTCCAGGACAAACAAAAACTAAAGGAATTTGCAAATACAAAACCAGTCCTACAAGAAATATTGAAAGGGGTCCTCTAAGCAAAGAGAGAGCCTAAAAGTGACATAGACCAGAAAGAAACACAGACAATATACAGGAACAGTCCCCTTACAGGCAATACAATGGCACTAAATTCATATCTTTCAATAGTTACCCTGAATGTAAATGAGCTAAATGCCCCAATCAAAAGACACAGGGTATCAGATTGGATAAAAAACAAGACCCATCGATATGCTGTCTGCAAGAGACTCATTTTAGACCCAAAGGCACCTCCAGATTGAAAGTGAGGGGGTGGAAAACCATTTACCATGCTAATGGACACCAAAAGAAAGCCGGGGTGACAATTCTCATATCAGACAAATTAGATTTTAAACCAAAGACTGTAATAAGAGATGAGGAAGGACACTATATCCTACTTAAAGGGTCTATCCAACAAGAAGATCTAACAATTGTAAATATCTATGCCCCTAACATGGGAAGAGCCAATTAATAACAAAAGCAAAGAAACACATCGACAACAATTCAATAGTGGGGGACTTTAACACCCCCCTCAGTGAAATGGAC